AGGGCGAGAGCACCCCCGAAAAGAGAAAAAGAGAAGGGGAACTCTCCAGCCAAGGAGACAGCCGAAAGAAGAAGGACTTAGCTCGGTAGGCCGGCAGAGCAATCACAGAGACAGCCTCCGGAAGAGAGGCCAGTTTGGGGTACCATCCACATGATAGTTGGAGGCTCGATCGTTGCAGGCTATACCTCGGCGGTAGCTCGGATGTCAGTTCGTGAAGCTTCTAGGAAAGAACAAAATCCTCCAAAGTGGCCGAAGATAGAGGAACCGATCTTCTTCACGGAGAACGATGTGCACGGGGTCCACTACCCTCACGATGACGCGCTTGTCATAAAAGTAAGGATCAATGATTTCGAGGTCAGGCGCGTCCTCGTTGACTCGGGTAGCTCAGCGGATATCCTCTTCAAAGCCGCGTTCGACAAGCTTCAGCTGCAGGGAAGTGACTTGAGGCCTGCGAATACTCCCTTGGGGGGCTTCAGCGGGGAAGAAGTCAGGCCCCTCGGGAAAATTACAGTACCTGTGCAAGTCGGCACATGGCCTAGCGTAGTAAGACTCAACCATGACTTCTTAGTGGTCGCGACCCCCTCCTCGTACAACGCCATAATAGGCTGGCCGATTGCCCATGTCCTACGGGCGGCAGTCTCCACTTATCATTTGGCGATGAAGTTCCCTACAGACTTCGGAGTGGGCGTAGCGTGGGGCGACCAGCTTGAGTCTTGCAAGTGCTATGTCACCACCCTCAAGGGAAAGACCAAGGTGGCCGATAACCTCAAACTGGAGCGACCTACGGAGCAAGGCGAAGAATGAGCTGCACCCATGGAAGAAACATTTGCTATTCCGATTTTAGTAGAAGACCCAGCTCGGACACTCCAGATCGATTTTTCAGTCCAAAAACCCCTACGATCTGAACTAGTAAGTTTCCTACTTCAAAACTTAGATATTTTTGCATGGTCCGCAGTAGAAATGCCCGGTATAGACCCTAATCTCATAACTCACAAACTCAATACTGATCCTGTAGTTAGGCCCATTAGACAGAAGAAATGCAACCTAGCCCCGGAGCGATGGAAAGCAGTCGACGAGGAGGTCGCGAAGCTCCTCACAGCCGACTTCATAAGAGAAGTCCATTACCCGAGCTGGGTAGCCAACCCCATTTTGGTAAAGAAGGCTAACGGCAAGTGGCGCATGTGCGTTGACTACACCGACCTAAATCGAGCCTGCCCAAAAGGCTTCTTCCCCCTCCCCAGAATCGACCACCTAATGGACGCGACCTCAGGGGATGAGTTGTTGAGTTTCTTAGATGCCTATTCAGGCTATAACCAGATCAGGATGGACCCGACGGACGAAGAAAAGACTGTCTTCATAACAGAGTTTGGTCTGTATTGTTACAAGGTTATGCCCTTTGGACTGAAAAATGCTGGGGAAACCTTTCAAAGGCTTGTAAATAAACTATTTGAGCTGTTAATTGGCAGAAAAATAGAGTGTTATGTAGACGACATGGTCGTCAAAACCCAATTCTCACATGAATTAATACAAGACTTGCATTCTGTCTTTCAAATTCTACGACAATTTAACATGAAGTTAAATCCAAACAACTGTGCCTTCGGTGTCACCTTGGGCAAATTCCTAGGATACATCGTCAACTGCACGGCATTGAGGCCAACCCGGATAAAATTAAGGCTATCCTAGATATGAGACCAGCCCGGAAGTTGAAGGAGGTTCAGAGGTTGAATGACCGCATAGCCGCCCTGAGCTGCTTTATGTCCAAGTTAGTGGACCGCTGTCTGCCTTTCTTTAAGGCAATTAAAAGCAAAGGGTTCGAGTGGACCCAAGACTGCCAGCTCGCATTTGACGAGTTCAAGAAATACCTTGCTAGTGTACCAATCTTAACCCGGCCCGAAGAGGGCGATGTTTTAGAGTTGTACCTCTCGGCAAGTGACGAAGTGGTCAGCTCGGTACTGACAAAGGAAGTAGATCAGGTCCAACAACCCATCTACTATGTTAGTAAAGTATTGTAGGGAGCAGAGATGAGATATCCAGAGATAGAGAAGCTAGCCTATGCATTGGTTATCGCAGCTCGAAAGCTCTGCCCGTACTTCCAGGCTCATATTGTTATCGTCCTCACCGACAAACCTCTGAGGCAAGTCCTACTTAAGCCCGAGGTGTCTGGTCGACTGATGAAGTGGGTCATTGAGCTCAACGAGTACGACCTCCAATACAAGCCGCAAACTRCTATTAAGGCCCAAGCCTTAGCAGATTTCATTGCGGAGTGCACTTTCAGCTCCGAAGTCCCCAGGCCGGTTGAGCACGAGGCCCCCAGTTCGGGCAAGCCCGGAGCTCCCAGGCCAATTGAGTCCGAGCCCCCTGAGGTAGCAGCCAGTGTGGCATCTCTCCTAGTTAGGCCAAGCGCGAATTGGGATGAGGAGCCCTGGATCCTTCACGTAGATGGCTCCTCGAACCAGTAGGGCAGCGGAGCCGAAACAGTTCTACACGGCCCAAGTAACACGAAATTGGAGTATGCACTACGCTTCGAGTTCGCAGCATCCAACAATCAAGCGGAATAGAAAGCATTGATAGCTGGACTAGCTTTAGCCAGAGAAGTAAAAGCCAAGCATATTGTCATCTGCAGTGATTCCCAGCTCGTAGTCAACCAAATCACAGGAGATTACGAAGCTCACGAACCAACCATGATTGCCTA